TCTATCAGAAGACGCCAGTTAAACCAAGAGAACAAACTCAGACGTGTATCTATCGGTATAATCCCTGAGAGTGTCAAGAGCTGGACGAATGAAGAACCTGGTGGGCCCTCATCAGCCTTGRGCTCAGGTGCCCCGAGTCACCTTCCCCGGGGACACGCCTGCCCACCGGCTGAGCCAGTCGTCCAGTCAATGCTCCTAGGACTTCATGACGTGCCAGGCRCCCTGGCCTAGGAGGGACGATGATGATCGCTATGATGTGGGGTGGCCCCAAGAAGCCTGTGGTCAGGGGGCAGAGGCCAAGGACACCAGGCAGGCGCTCTGCAGGTGGAAGGTGATGGCCGCAGGGATGATGCTCAGGTATGAAGCGCTCCAGCCACTCTATCCATTAAGAGGGGACCCGTGTTTGAGAGTGTCCCTGGTAGTTAACCAGGCTCTAGCAGGACGCCCTGGTCGAGGACCGACAGAGCAGCGGGTGCGGGGGTCACTGTGTGGAAGGACAGGAGACTCTAGTCAGCAGGGCTTCCTGGGCGGCTTCACAAGGATGCCTCCAGGAAGGGACCAGAGTCTCTCCCTCAGGCCAAACAGGCCCTTATGCTGGCGCTCACCTGGGTTCTCAGACTCTTTTACTGAAACGCTGCTAACTGTGGACAGGTCTGTGGCTGCTGGGGCAGAAGCCCTCTTGCCAGCATCTGCAGGCAGGGGACCCCTACCCAGGGCCTGGATCTCGCCTTGAGGAAAGACCTGGCGTCCCCCAATGCCAGGCTTGCAGGCCCATCATGCCCACCTGCCCCTTCAGGTAGGAAAAATGGGGGTGGGTACCTTGGGGGTCCACAGGGAAATCCCTAAGGAGACTTGGAGCTCTTGAGACAACCATTTAATGTCCTGGGAAATACCTGTCTCCTCCCTGAGAAGGAAAACAACATGGAAATCTCATCTATGATCCTCCTCCTTAAGAAAATAAAACATGAATCACACACACAAACATAGGAGCTCAGGCTTGTCACCACGGATGCAAAGACAAGACAAGTCTGCCATTTTATAACAAAACAGCGTCGGCCAGCTCGGAACTGGATTCAAGGAGTCGGAAGCCGCCCCTGCACACAGAAATCACTGGGGAGGCTGGCTTAAGAGACCTGAGTCCCCCCCGGGTCATGAATGCAATAGTCCCAGTAGCAGGGCCAGCGTCATGCCATCCCTCAGGGGCTCTGGAGTCCTGCTCGGGTGGCAGCCTGCAACACCTCAGGCAGGAGCAGGGGCAGGAGAAGGGCCCCAGCACTGCCCTGCCTGAGGCTCACTCGCTGCCCAGAGTGAGGACATGCCTCCCTCCTCCGTGGGCTGGTGGCCTTGGTCCTGGTCAGCCCGATGCCCTGACTGGATTTCAGAGTTCTGGTTTGGACCAAGCCATGAAGAATGAGCAAGTTTCTGAGTAGAAGTGTTAAATACAGGCATTTTCAGAGAAAGAGGGAGGAGACAGAGGCAGTCAGCTTCCAAGGGTCCTGGTCTGGCCAGGGACACGAGGCAGAGGTCACGGTCCTGAGGGAAACAGTGGGACAGGACCCAGGCAGACACAGGAGGCCTGCAGCGCTGGGGCCTAGGAAATGGGACTTAGCCTCTTGGATCAATGGCTTCCTTATTTATAAATAAATATAAAAGCCTCCCTCTCCAAGTGTTGCCAAAGACTGGGACAGCGTCACCAAGGTGTGTGACGTAGCTTTGTTATTTCTGCCACCACAGCTGTTGACTGGCTTTGGGGCCACCAAGTGCCACTATTTTTGCATATTTCCTGTTGGGACTATGGAGACTCCAGTAGGAAACCCTGGAAGGAGGTTCAGCAGAAGGCAGCTTGGGCTCAGTGGAGGTGCTCAGGATGAGCCGGGAAGGCAGGGGACCAGCCTGGGCTCGGGGGCCAAGGTGGGCAGACTGGGGACGGTCCCTCCCCGAGGAGACGTGGGGTCTGGAAGACGGCAACAGGAGAGAGAGCAGGGACTGGCAGTGTGCACAGACAAGACTGTGACTTCTCCGGCTTCTCTCTCAAGGGCTTCGCCAAGGCAGGACGACGTGCATTCTGCACAGTGACTTAGGTGGTCCCTCCTACCATCTCCATCTGCTCAGGAGCCATGAGGGCCACTTATTCCTGCGGAACCTGCCCTTTCTGGGCACCACCYGTGGTCACCGCAGCACCAGATGGCCTCCAGGGAACATCTCCACTCTACCCTTGAAGGCRCAAGGCACCAATAAAAAACTGCGGCCTCCAAAATAGCAGTAGAAAAACCCAAACATTTTAAACTCAAATTCCCCCTTTACTGAGCCCCACAGTTTTGTTTAAAAAAATACTGTTTTTTCAAAATAACAAAAGAGAATAAAGCAAATCAAGTTGGTTTGAACCCTGTGCACTAACTCCAATTTTATCTTCTAAAACATACACTTTCCAGTATCAACCAGCCAGCTGATATTTTCCTACATTCAAAGGAAGCAATTTTCTCCAATTTTACAGTCTCTCCAGTCCTGCATCCCGAGACTCGGAGGGATCTGTGCTAACAAGTGGCGGCTGATGAGAAATGAGGGGACACAGACGGCGGGTCTGGGCCAGCACAGGGCTCCCAGCGCGTTGGGACTGCAGTTGAACAGGCTGCAGGGAGGAGGTGGGCCGGGAGGGGCCCTGAGGCTGGGCCCTGCCTGGGGCTGGAGGCAAGCTCATCAGCGTGTGTCCACCAGGCAGCCCAGAGATACTGAGAAGAGGGAGGGCAGTCTCCTGAAGGATGCAGGTGGTCCAGCCCGCTGGGAGCCCAGGGCTGGGGCTTATCAGGTTCTCCAAGGTGGGGCCCAGCCTGCCTTCCTAACTGCAGAAGCAGAAGACTTTGCTGGGGTGTCACCCAGAGGCCTCCCTAGGTGGCTGCGGCAGCTACCTAAGCAAGTCACGGGTCCTATTGACGCCAAGGAGATCGGTGCTGTGGCTCACGGCGGAAAGAGGAAGGAAAGCTGTCTTTCCGTCTTTCTAGGAACAGCCTTCTCCCTTTTGTGGCCCGCGACAGGGTTAATAAGCCATCTCTGCCGTTTGAGTAGTCAGGTTATGGACGTTCATGATGAAAACAGGGGCCCACGCAACCCAGCTCTGTATTTTTTCGACTATTGCTGCTGTTAACCYCCAACCCTGGAGGTAGAAGGGAATTCTGCTGGCTCCCTCCAGAGCCAGGGCACCTCTGGGCCAGGTCCATCACTCACTCATGAAACACAAGCCTCTTGTACGGTTAACGGTGCCCACCTGGGAGGGCACGCCTCTGTCCTGGGCCTCCACACCTCTGCCTGTGGGTTTTGTGCTTGGTTTTGTTTTGTTTTTCATATAGAGGGTTGATTCAGGCCAAGTCTGAAACCATGTAATTCCAATAAAAAATACAGAGCTGGGTTGCGTGGGCCCCTGTGGATCTGCCCGGTCTCCTGCAGCCGCCTGACCCTGGGGCCTGGCTGTCGGCCTCATTTCTGGCCCTGGTTTTCCCCCGTCTGCTTCGCCGCCCACTTTGGTTCCGTTGTTCTCTTAGCCCTGGGCGTCGTCTCTCAGCCCCCCTGGGCCCTCCTCGTCACGGGGCCAGCTTTCTAGACTTTGGCTTTACCGGGGTTTGCTCTCAGCTTCTCCAGCCAGGCTGACCACTCTTCAGCTCACGCCATCCCTGCAGTGCCTCCTCAGGAAGAATGGGATCCCGCTCTCCTGCCTCCTGCACGTGAGATCACATGGCTGCTCCAGAAGGTGACTTCTGGCTCCTTCAGGACAGGGACCACATCTCATTCCCAAGACCCGGCCCAGGGCCTGCCCCAGGTGCTCCAGGTGCCTGTGCTACCCGCAACACAGCACACAGTGGGCGCCCAGCCAGGGCTCCTCACCATGGAACCCTTTGCTCGCCTCGTTGGGCTCTCTGGGTGCCTCACCCACATCCACGACCCCTGGCTCTCATTTCTCCTGGTTTTATAAAACACATTCCTTCCAAGAGCCACCTGTTCTTTCAAGCTAAATAAGCTCATCCAAGGGTCAGAATGGACACTGAGTCGTCCTAGAGGACAAAAGAGGAGCAATAACTATGTGGGAGGCTGAGGCCAAGAGGCTTCACTAACTAATTTTTCAGAGTCTAGGGGCATGAGGAACGTTTTAGAGGCACTGTGACAGCACAACACACAAGCACWCAAGTCACTCTCCCAGAGAGCAGCACAGGGAAAGAGAGCAAAACTGCAAGTCCAGGAGGTGGACTTCTAACCACAGATGCACTGCTAACCCACTGCGTGACCTTGGACTAGTGACTTGCCCTCTCTGGACCTTATTCATTCTGAAAGTCAGGAAGTAGACTAGGCCTTGAACACTACATTGGGAAGGTGTGCCAACCCGAGGATTAACTCTCAAGGGTCAACTCCACCGAATGCTAACAGCAGCCCTGGAGATAACAGGCGAGGCGCCGCCGGGAGGGTRAACAGGCATCGACATCTGGCTCCCATGGATGCAATCGCCCGGTTTCAGGCCCAGATAGGGGAGAAAGATCATGTCCAATTCCAGCAAAAGATGAACATGTGGCTTTCCATCCCTAATTCTTTGTTTTGCTATTGAAAAAACAAATCCCTCAAACAAGAAACCTAGATTTGATCCGCTTTAAACCTCAAGGGGAAAACAGATGGATCCCACCTGCACACCAGGCTCCCTGCACCTCTCTCCGGTTCCTCTGCTCAGAGAAGGGAGAGCAGGAGCTGCAGAGAGTCAGGACCACGCRGGGGCAGCTCAGCTGCTCTCCGGGGCCCTGTTGCCTAGCAACGCGGCCCATCTCGGCCTGAGCAACAAAGGCTCTGTGAGAAGGGAGGGAGGTCCTCGCAGCGTTTCTCCTGAAGCACAGGCGGAGGCACAGCGTGAGGAGCCCACCCTCCAGAGGCCACTGCTGTCACAGGAAAGCCCTGCCCGTGGACAGGCCCTGCAGCCTGAGCCCGACACTGGGGGAGGAGGGGGCAGGGAGGGACGCGGGACTCACCACTTATCCATTTGGCCTCGGGGTCGTGGAGTTTGAGATCTTCACTGAAGAGGTCTTCCACGGTGACCTTCTTCTTCTGGGACAGACTGTTGTCTTCCGCTAGAAAAGAGGAGGCAGAGGGTCAGACCGGCTTTTTAATCAATAAAGATGGACCGTCACACATCCTGGTYGCCATTCGGAAATAGCATCTACGGGGAAACACAGTTTCTATAAATGAAGGTGAATGCCGGCYGGCCTTGTTTTCTGTTGTTTTTGATAATTTAATGAACAACAAGGGGCTGGGCTGTAGCCCAGTGGGAGAGCACTCGCCCTGCACGTGGAGGGCACTGGGTTCCATCCTCAGCACCACATAAAAAATAAAATAAAGGCATTGTATCCATTCACAACTAAAACCCAGAACAAAACAAAAGTGTGGTAAGGCATCACGAATCAGAACAGTCCCCTTCCCACTCCTACTGGAGTACAKAAATGACCATATCTGGGGGTAAATGACTGTGTCAAGGCTGAGCAAGAGGGAGGCACAGATGTCAGAATGGAGCCCTCGGCCAGGTGCAGGTGCCTGTGCGGCAAACACTCACTGACACCATTAACCACAGCCGGCATGGCGATTTCTGRGTGTTGAGAGCCACAACCAAGTCAAGATGGCGCCTGGCATTTTGCCAGAAGGAGTGGTTGAGAAGTAATGCCAGCGAGCCATTAAGATGATGATAATTCAGTTAAGCTGTGTATAATTATTAAGATAATGACTGATGGCTGTAACTGGATGATGCTAAATTGAAACAAGCTGTGTATTCAGCTGTGTATATAAACCTCTGCTGTCCCRAAATAAGGCGGCTCCTGCTACCTCGGGTGCCCGCTACTTTTGAGTTCCCATTGGTTCTCGCAGAGTTTTGGTTGAGTTCTGGTGGAGTTCCCATTGGGTTCAGGCAATAAAGTAGTTCCTGTTTGAACCTACAAGTGGCTCGTGACCTCCGGGTTATTTGTGCCCAGCCAGACTGTGGCATCTGAGAACATGGAGGCACACAGATGCTCCTTGGGTATTTACTCTCTGTGAGCCTCCTAGTCCCTGGTGTCTCTGGGTGGGGGTTCCTCCTGTCCAGAAGGATAGCCATCCAGATACCTGTGTGCCAACTCCCAGACCCTGCCCTGCCCCATCTCGACTCCCAGGCTCAGGCGGCCCCTGGATAAGCTGTGAAGGAACTACTCCACTACCTGCCCAAGAGGGATCCTCAGCTAACGGCACCGGCTGCCGGGGCTTGGAAGACCTGGCAGCCCTTCCCCACCTCCAGAGGGTGAAGTTTCTGGGATTTAGCTCCTCCTCAGAAGAGCCACAAAATCCCGTTTATCTGCTTTGAAAAGATGTAGGACCTGGGAGCCCGAGCTAACAGAGGGACCTGGAGGACAGTCCACCTGACCAGCTCCCTTCCTCYGCCTTCGCGGGCTCTCCCCAGGGCCTCCCCCCAGGCACAGGAATCCAGATGGGCAGGACAGGCTGGGAGTCGGCTGTCTGCACTGTCACCTGTCTGGAGCGGAGCTGACCCACAGCCTGCTGACCAGGGACTCCTTCAGTGAGACCGTTTCTGATCGACGCTGTCCTCTAGAGAGCTTCTGTGGCCCCTGCCCTCTTAATAGAAGATACTGAACGTCACTGCACTCTCCTCAAGACCTGGTCCCCGTGCCCTTGGCTTCGCAGTGCTGCCAGGGGGTGGGACCGTCAGGGGCTCGGGTCACTGCGTCCCTGCCTGTGACGTCCGCTCCTGGTCCGTCCGTGATCCTCCGCGTCACGGGCTGCCAGGGTGCTGGTCCTYGGCACTACACGTTGCCTGCTTTAATCTCGGGGTTCAAGGCCGTGGGGGCCGGGAGGCTAGCAGGGAGTTCTGTGGGAATCGTGTGATGAGTCAGAATACGCGTCTGCTCAGCAAATCCCCCAAGTTTCTGAGACTGTTTCATCGCCTCCCATTGCTTTCTTTTGGCCTCTGGATATTACGGTTTATTGAAGTTATCTGAAAAGCCWTGTTTTCCTTTATGTTTGGGTTGATTTCTTCACTGTCAAATAGGCTCATTGGATACAAAAGTCTTTTGAAAGGTGCAGAGTGATGTGATTCAAGGGGGCCTCACTGGGACAGGAGCACCTGTGGGGGTGTCCAGGTGCTGCCCACGACGTGGAAGCCAGCCAAGCGCTTTCCCTGTGCCCCTGAAGCAGCCCTGGGAGGGCTCGGCTGAAGCAGCCCTGGGAGGGCTCGGCTGAACCAGGAGCTCTGCTCAGGGAGGACGGTTAGACCTGAGCACGTTACGGACCCCGGGATCTAATCTCCTATGCTGTGGCCTGGCAACTAAGAGCTGTGGACACTTCCCAGACCACACATGTGGCCACAAGACAAATAACCACTAAAACCTGAACGTCACGCCCCCAGGAAGACGGTAGCTCTCCAGGCCGAGGTCTTCACACGCAGAAGAAGACACAGTGTGAAGCTCCTGAAGACCCACGGTGGGAGTGAGAGGTGGAGGGGAATTTGTCCACTTGCTAAATCTCTTTTTTCATAGATGTGTTTAAAGTCTTCCTTGGTTTCTAAAGCTACTTTGAGAATGCACAGAGCATTGCGGGGCAGGCTGTGGTCTGTGCTCTTCAGAGTGCTCCATTTAGGGGGCTGGGGCCGGGCTCGGAGGTAGAGCGCTCGCTCGCCTGGCATGTGAGAAGCACTGGGCTCCACCCTCACAGCACATAGAAATAAAACAAAGATGGTGTCCACCTAAGGCTAAAAAAAAGGAATAGTTTTTTTAAAAAATCACTCCATTTAGGACAGGAACTTTGTCAGCAATCAGCTCCGCCTCTTGAAGGCGCTCCCTGTGGGGCCCCTGGGTGGCTCAGGCCCACGTTCCACTGCCAGCTAAACCYTGGCTTCAGTCCACACAGCCCCCAGGCCTCGCGGGATGGCATGAGTGATGCACGTTCCACAGACCACGTGACCCTCAGGACCCCCAGTGGAGAGACCCACGTCTGCTGCACCCRCTCAGGAGCAGGCAACCAAAGTCCAGGGAAGCCCAGGACCTAGCAGTGATGGAGCTCGGGGCAGGGAGAGCCACTGGGCTGACGGTCGAGGGGACCAGGGATGGAGAAAGTGGGAGGGGTTCTGGGGAGGCCTCCTAAAGAAAAGAGCCAAATGGCCAGATAAAGGAGATAAGAGGACATTGGGGAGGAAGGCGGGGGGGAGAGGGCGGGGCTGCAGTTGCTCACCAAGTCCTGGGCCTGCTGCGCCCAGGGCCCTGGGCAGGAGAGCTGGGAGGAGGGGCAGCCTCTCACACCTGAGCTGTCCTGAGCTTCCATCTGAAAAGGAGGCTGCTGCATTTTGCCTTCCAGTCCTGGTTAGAGGTTAATTATGGCCATTCTGGGCCCAAGCATGGCCACCTGCCCGTCAGAAACGTTCCCAACAATGACCTCATCCCTCGCAGCTGCTCCGTCCTCCTGGCCCTGCCTTCCTGAGTCCCAGCTGGCCTGCAGGAGCTGACCTGGACATCTCTCCCGGTTCTCTGCAGGCCCCTCCGGGTCAGTCTCCCAGGTGCCCACACCTCCTCCTGCCTGCCTGGACCCTTCTCACCCAGTGGCTGGATTTTTAAATACTTATATTTCTAAATTTCCTAATTAGCTCTTCTCAAGATCCTCTACTCTAATTATTTTATAGTTTCAATCTCCTTAATCACATCGATAATTCTTTTAAAAACCTGAGATGCCATTTTCTGTTTTCCCTATTGATTGAAGTTCTCTGGACCTCAGTTTTCATGAACTGTTCTCCTGCATCAGGACATGCGTTCTGTGGGGACTTGGTCCCTAGCTTGTCACAGTGTCCTGGTCRTGAGAGACTCTCAGCTATGTGCTTGAGATGGCGTTGGGCAGTCTGGCAACGCTGTCTGGATAGTGGCTCTCAACCAGGTCTCACGTGGCCATTTGGGCCACAGCCCTGTGCCCAGGTTTTAGGGGAGGGTCCCTTGATCAGCCTCTGGCCTCTCCTGGACACCAGCATGGCAGCCTTCCTGTTGAGCCCGACTTTGGCCTATGTGCCCGGAGGGGCCAGGGATTCAGCCTGGCTTCCTGGGCAGGTCTCTCCTTGCTCTTCCCACACCAGGCAGGTGAAGACCCTGCTCTTGTTGTGAAATCCAAGATGTGTTTCTTGTTTATTTTCCTACCACTTCTACATATTTGAAGCCAAAACCCAGAAGACATGCATGTTCAAGCCTCCACTTGAACAGGAAGTCAGCAGCTAGCTGGAGATAGWGGAAGTGGTGAGGTTTTATAGTTTGGCTTCGCCCTGATGGAATTTGGGGATCACAGAAAAGCCAGGTTTCTTTCAGCCCTTTAGCTCCTTGTGTTGCAGACAATCCCTCAGCTCTTCTGACTGCTGTGTGGCCACGCTGGCCCCCGCAGGGATGGAGTCTCTTTAGGGTCAGTGCATCTGGCAAGCCGCTCAGCCTCCCCTTCGTTCCTAAGAYATTTGTCCAAGAGCAACGCTCTTCAACATAAACCCGTCAGAGAATGCTTTAGAGAACGCTTTAGAGAAGGCTTTGGAACTTCTTCTCTGGACACTTTTAAACTAGGAATAGATCCCTTCACCCTAAGATGGGTCMAATCTGGGGCAGCCTGGCTGCTCATGGTGCCACCGACCTCTGCCAGGGCAGGGGAGCRCCTGGCAAGTCTGCCAAGGGGACGGGTCTCCCAGGTCAGAGACGGCTTGCAAGCTTCTGTTTCTGTGAGCAAGCGGAGCAGCTGTCACCCTACGCTGCACTCTGCAGAGTGCAAGGTATTTATTACCTCTCCAGAGGCCCGCCAGAATGGGAGGCAGGAAAGGCTCTCAGGGAAGTAAGCCRGGCACTGGAGGCTGCATGGCTCTCCCCCAGGTGTGGGCAGCTAGGTGGCAGCCGCCAAGAGCTGGGACCGCAGAAGCCCACGGAGACAGACAACGGCGGGTTAGAGAGGTCAGACTTCAAGGGGAGACAGAACCCTGTGCCTCGCCCAGAGCCGAGCGTTTTTTCCATTTTGAATGTTTGTCTTTCCTATGAATGTTGATCATATTTGTTTGCTCTCTTACAAACACGTCAGAAGAACA